GCCTCGATTCTTTTCCTATACTGTGCGTGTATGTCTCCTGTAATCACTTTTGGAGGACTGCTTGGAGAAGCTACAGAAGGCAGAATAAGTGTAATAGAGTCTCTTTTTGGAGCATCATTAACTGGGCTTGCCTATTCATTGTTTGCTGGGCAACCTCTAACAATACTGGGGAGCACAGGTCCAGTCCTAGTGTTTGAAAAAATTTTATTTAAATTCTGTAGAGATTATCACCTTTCCTATTTATCATTAAGAACCAGTATTTGGACCTCTTTCTTGTGCATTGTGTTGGTTGCAACAGATGCAAGCAGCCTTGTGTGTTACATTACTCGGTTCACAGAAGAAGCATTTGCACCTCTCATTTGTATTATATTCATCTATGAGGCTTTGGAGAAGCTCTTTCATTTAGGAGAAACATATGCATTTAATACTCAACAACAGCAACAACCCAATCCAGACAGGACAACAAATGGCCCAGACCCTTCAAGGGTGAAAGTATGGGTCACTTCTCCAGGGAAAGATCCAAGACCTGCAGAGATGCTGCTTGCTGATGGTGGAGGAAATACAGAATGGATAGTAGAGGAAGGTAGTTACAAATACCAACTTACGCCACGTGACTAGTTACAGAAACGTGGATTGTAATTGACATGAGTATTTTTGTCCTATTTGGTTTAGAATAGGCTTGTGCATGTATACACATGTTAAGCAGATACTTGAGTTATTCTTTTTTGAATATGCAATTGAGATGTGTTAAGTGGTTAAGTGTTGTGAACCTATATGAATATATTGGGTTATGAGACACTAGAGGACTAAGCATTCCTCTAAGACCTTATCACCTACTCTAAGGTATATACTGCATTGGTCATAGTATTATGGGGTAGTTATGTTACGTGAATTTATGACCTCAACATTGTTTTCATTTGAAAATTAAGCACGACATAGAGAGATGCTATTGTGTGTCAAGTTGACAAGGGGTGGACTTGTGATGGCTAATCCTGGGTGTCAACTTGATTGGATCTGGGATTAACTGAAATGAGATTAACTGAAGTGAAAGAGATCTTCTTGATTGGATCATCTAAAGCCAGAAGACACACCCTAAATGTGGGCATTACCTTCTGATGGCAGCCGATATAAAAGACCAAGGCAGAGCAGAATGCCAGGCTTTTTGCTGCGTTCCTTCTCTCTTGCTGGTGAGTTCGTCTTGCTGCTGTAGACCGAACACGAGCTGATATTTTGGAATTTGTCAGACCTTCAGCACCTGATTGGGACTACTGAGACATCCAGCCTTGTGGACTGAGCGACAACGGATTCTCAGCCTCTCCAGTGTGGGTGCAGCCATTGTTGGACGACTCGGACTCTATCCTGTGAGCTAAGCTGATAAATCTCTATATATCTTCATTCTAGTGGTTCTGTTTCTTTGGAGAACCCTGTTGATTTGTGTGTGTGTGTGTGTGTGTGTGTGTGTGTGTGTGTATACCACACAGAACATCCCAAACCATCTTATTCGACTATATACACACTTCCCAGATGGCACCCTCCCATAGCATCCCTCCCTGCCAGTAGAGCCCTTATACTCTGATATCCCTGCTACTGCCTGCCGTTTTGTCACCACCCCCAGCCATTCCCCACTACTTGCCGTTCTGTTGAATCTAGGCATCCTATCTAGCGGTCTTTGTTTTAGGAGAGTCAGCTGTTCCTAGTCTAGCAGCAATCAGTTGTAAATACTCCTTTAGATAAGATTAGGGTCAGCTGTTCATTTATCCAGTTCTATGCCCACCAGCTCAAAAGAAGGTATCTCCTATGTGGCATTGTTGCTTGTAATGTAGCCTTTAGCTATGTATATGGACTTTTAAGAAATTATATTGAACCCTTTAATCTTTGGTTATACTTTCCTTTTGGATGTGTAAGGCCTTGCAGTTGGCCCAGGTAAACCAATTTATTTTCACTCTTAAGGTCGTTTGAGGATCTGTTCCTCAGGGGTCACATGTTCTTGGGAGGAGCCCCTGGCTCCTTTTTCCAGTTCCATCTATGTGAAGATAAGTCAAAGGACCTGCTCGACCATGGTTGGCTCTGCCTGGAAGCATGGAGGAAGTGATTCCTCTCTGTGGACCCTCCTCTTTGTAGACGGGATACTGGTTCAAGTCCATCTTATGCGGTCTCCTCGGCCTCGGTGATCAAGAGAACAGGTGACCCACCACATTTATTGGACATTCTGAGAGATGCTCATAGTCTCCTGGAAGTAGTTGACCTAGGGGGGCACGGAGTAAAAACTGTCCTTTATGTCCCTCTGACCAAATTAGTATAGGCCTCAAAGTATGTCTGTTAAACAGCTGAGAAAGTTATTCATATAGGCCTCAAAGTATGTCTGTTAAACAGCCAAGGAAGTTAGCTCCCCCAGTCTGGTACGTTTAATTACTGTGTGTCATGTAGATGAATCTTGGGAAAAGGCGGATTGTTCTCAGATAAACCTTACCTAGACACATATTTCTTGATCTGCTATATATAATTTGTCATTAGGTTGTAGGAGTAATACGTTTCCCTCGTTTTCAAAACTAGGCTAGGCATTATTTATCTCTCACATTGTCTCACCTCTCAACCATAGTTTTCCCACTTTAGGTGCCCCCATTTTCCCCCCTATCTCCCTTACTAATACACTTCTGTGGACCTACCTCTCTTGAGCTTCTTCTTTCCATTTATCCGCTAGGATGATGCTATACCCTTCCCTCCCCCTCCCTTCAATGAACCCAAGTTTTATCCATATCTCCCTCATTAAGGCTTCTTTTCCTATTGTTCTTCTCTTTCAGGTTCTTTCTTTTCCTTTACCTCCCTCGTTCCTTTCAATTACCCAAGTTCCTGTAGTTATGTCTGGGTACATACTCACTTATCAGGGTTTGGTTCTAGGATTTACTTTCTGAGTCTGTTACTTCATTTAGTATAACAGTTTCTAGTTCCATCCATTTAAATGCAAATTTCATGATTTCATCTTTCTTTACTGCTGAGTAGAATTCCATGTATAAATGACCCACATATTCATTATCCACTCGTCAATTGAGGGACACTTAGGTTGCTTCCATCTCTTAGCTATTGTGAAAAGAGCAGCAACAAACATGGATGTACAAGTGTCTCTGCAGCAGGATGAATTCTTTGGGTATATGCCGAGGAATGATATAACTGGGTCAAATGGTAGGTACATTTGTAGTTTTTTCAGAGTTCTCCACACTGCTTTCCAAAGGGGTTGAACCCATTTGCCGCCGCACCCGCAGTGGATGAGTGTTCCCCTTTACCCACATCCTCTCCAACATTTCGTAGTATTTGTTCTCCTGATCTTAGCCAGTCTGACTCGGGTAAGATGAAACCTTAAAGTGGTTTTAATTTGCATATCCCTAATTATTAGTGATATTGAAAATCTTTTACGATGTTTCACAGCCATCTTTACTTCTTCTGAGAACGCTCTGTTCAACCCCTTGGCCCATCTTTTAATTGGGATGCTTCTGGTCTTGATTCTGTTTTTTGAGGTAATTATATATTCTGGATATTAAACCTCTGTCGGATGTGTCGCTGGTAAAGATGTTCTCCCATTCTGTGGGCTTTCTGTTCGCTTCCCTGGTTGCCTCCTTTGATGTACAGAAGCTTTTTACTTTAACGAGATCCGACTTGTTAATTCTTCCCCTTGTTTCCTGATCGATTGATATCCAGTTTAGAAAATGCTTTCCTACACCTATATCTTGTAGGTTTTTCCCAGTGTTTTCTTCTAACAGTTTCAGAGTTTCAGGCTTTACACTGAGGTCTTTGATCCATTTGGAACTGACTTTTGGGCAGAGCAAAAGATAGGGGTTTAGTTTCATTCTTGTATAGGTGGAGATCCGGTTTTGCCAGCACCATTTGCTGAACATGCTGTCTTACCTCCAGTGAAACTTCTTGGCCCCTTTGTCAAATATCGGGTGGCTGAAATCGTATTTACTCACGTTTGGGTCTTCAGTTTTGTTCCATTCGTCCATGGGTCTATTTTTTGTGCCAGTACCACGTTGTTTTTATGACTATAGCTCTTTAATACAGCTTGAAATCTGGCATAGTAATCCCCCTGGCATTGCTCTTAGTAGTAGGGGTTGCTTTGGCTTTCTGAAGTCTTTCGTGCTTTGGAATGAATCTGAGGATGTCTTTTTTTCCAATTCTGTGAAAAATGTCATGGGGATTTTGATTGGCATTGCATTGAATCTATAAATGACTTTTGGTAGGATGGTCATTTTCACAATATTAATTCTTCCAGTCCATGGGCATGGGAGGTCCTTCCATCTTCTGATGTTTTCCCTATCTCTTTCTTTAAGGATGTAAACTTTTCATTATAGAGCCCTATTAAAGAGAGTGGTCTTTGGTCAGGTTTATTCCAAGATATTTTATTTTCTTTGCAGCTATTGTGAAGGGGCGTGTTTCCATGTGCTCTTTCTCTCATCTCTTGTTCTTGGTATATAGAAAGGCTACAGACTTTTGTAGTTTAATGGTGTAACCTGCCACTTTACTAAACTTGTTAATAATTTTGAGGAGTTTTCTGGTTGAATTTTTGGCATCTCTTAGTTATAAACTCCTATCATCTGCAAAAAGGGATAATTGGATCTCTTGCTTTCCAATGATTTCTCCTTTAATTTCAAGCTCTTGTCTTACTGTTCTTGCAAGTTTCAAGCACCATGTTAAAGAGAAGTGGAGATAGTGGAACCCATGTGTGGGTTCTGATTTCAATGGGAATGCTTCCTGTTTTGCTCCATTTAGAAGGATGTTGGCTGTGGGATTGTTATATATGGGTTTAAGTATGTTGAGGTATGTTCCCTCCAGTCCAGTTCTCTCTGGTACTTTGAACAAAAAAATGCATGTTGAATTTTGTCAAAGGCCTCCTCTGTATCAATTGAGATGGCCATGTGGTTCTTGTCTTTGAGCCGATTGATATGATTTATGATGTTTATTGACTTATGTATATCGAACCATCTCTGCATCTCTGGGATAAAGCCGATTTGATCACGGTGGGTGATCTTTTCGATGTGTGTGTGTATGCAGTTGGCAGATCTGCAGGTGGCCTCGGCTCTGGGTGCGCTTGGGAGTGTGCGTTGTCCCATGGCCTCCAGGGGGCCGCAGCAGGCAGCGGGACCAAGAGAGAGGTGCGCGCACGGCTTCCTGGAGGCAGAGGACGCAGGCGGCGCCCCACACTCCCGAGACCTGAAGCCTCGTGAGCGGGTGGAGGGCACTCGCGTGGGGCCTGCGGTCCTTGGGCCTGCCCGTGGGCCTCCCCAGACCCGGCAGGACCGACCAGCTAGCGCCGGCGGCTGGAGGCAGGAAGGGAGGCGGCGGCCGGTGCCCAGCGCGGTCCCCGAGCACCGTGCGGGTCTCAGCAATGGTGCGGAGCGCCGCGAGCCCAGTGTCTGCCCGGCTGCGGTAGACCAAGTGGCCGCGGACGGGGTGGGGAGGCCATGGAGACGGCCCCCATCCCTCGCTGGCCGAGTTCGCCGGGCTGGCCTGAGGCTCAGGCTTCGCTCCAGGTCCCGGCGGCTGCTTGCCCCTAGAGAGTGGTGCCCGCGCTCCGGGTGGTCTAGCTTTCTGGTGGCTGCTTCTCCCTCCTCCCGGCCCTCGTGCCGGCGCTGCCTCCGGGTGCCCGGAGTGTGCGAGTGCGACACTCTGCATCTCCACGGAGACCACTTTGTCACCAGCGGACAGACCTCGGCCCTTGAAAGCGAACCCGGAACAGCTGGAGAATGTCCAGCCCGAGATAGCTGAGAACGAATGTCAACTCCAAGGTAAGGATGGCAGTGGCTGCCTCCCTCGTTTTGTGTGCTTTCTTGTCACTATGCTCCTGGAGTTGCATTTGTAACTTCTGGTCTGCCTGGAGGAAGGAGGTGAGGGGACAGCTGGATGCCTCACTGAGCCCCAGTCCTTTTTTTAGTTTCCCCTGGGAAATGTTATACTTTGAAGTTGTAGACAGATTAGATTTTTTCCTCTCAGGATTATTAACACATATCATTCCGGATGACTAGTGTACTTTTCACATTTAAACATAGTTAATATTGAATTGTCTGTGGTTGTTGCTAGCCTTTGTTGTTAGTACAACTTGGACGCTAGTGCTTTCTTTCTGGAAGTCATCAGGATATAGACAATTTCTAGAATAATAATTTTTTCTGATATATTCCAAACAGTGTTGTGTATATATTATAGGATGCTTGTTGATTTGAAATCTGGTTAAGGTGACCCTGTCAAAGCAGAAGGAGAAGTGGTGTGACAGGCTAGTTAGAGGTGGCTTCAGTTCAGACAAGGACTATTGTGGGTTATGTGTGTGTGTGCGTGTGTGTGTGTGTGTGTGTGTGTAGTAGCTTTATTAGTGGTCAGCTGCAAGTACCAAAATCATAAGTGGTTTAAGTCATTACCAAGTCATTACTAGCACCCGTTTCCTTTGACATAGTCTCCTTCTCCCAGAGCTAGGAAGACCAATGAGCCGGCTCTGCTCAGTGCTGTGGAGGAATCTGCAGGGTTTTTTTTTTTAGCCCCATTGACGCGGTGTGAGGATAGCTGACAGACAATGGTGTGGGGAGCTGCTGTTCCAGACTTGGAGCTTCATAGATCATACTTTTTATTCTTTTGCCTTTTGTGTGTGTGCATGTGTGCGTGTGGGTGCACATACACACGTATACACATGCATCTAGAGGCCAGAGGTCAATATTGGGTGCCCTCTGTAATCGATTGCCTTCCACATCTTATTTTTTGAGACAGGAGCTCTCGCTGTTCCGGGAGCTCGCTTATTCAGCTAGGCTGGCCAGCCAGCCAGCTCCAAGGATCTATGGTGTCCACCTCTCCAACTCTGGTATTATAGCCAGGTGCTACCATTCCTGGCTTTATATGTGGGTGCTGGGGATCTGAGTTCAGGTCCTCGTTTGTGTATAGCAAGCACTTTACCTGCTGAGTCAGCACCTCAGCACCCCACACTTCTTGTAATTGGAGAGAAGTAAATTTTCCCACGAAGTCACTCTTAGGTGAGTTTTCTCTTTCTTCCATTGCTGACATCAAATAGATATATGCACAAACTGGAGAAAGACATGCTTGTCAACTTCATCACAAACTTGGAAACACTTGAAGAGCTCCGAGAGCTCCAGCTGAAGGGCAGCAGAGTGACCATGGCAATAGTGTCTGCTGACCTCAGCTAAAGTGGCAAACTGAGGAGAAGCTCAGCAGATGGCAGACACGAGGGTGCTTCATATTGAAAGAGCAGAAACATGTGATGATACACAGCTGATTCGAGAGTTGATTTTGCTTGGTTATTTATGAGGCATCCTCTGGTATATTACAGAGGGTAGCCTGTTGCAGCCATGTGTGTTTAATGGCTTGCATGATATAGGCATCTGTATTTTGTTCACAAGAGATCAGTGGATCATTGCTTCTCTGTGTAATAAATCAGAAGCCCGGGAGAATTTCCTGTTGGCATTCTGCTGTTCCCAGGGACCTGGTTTTCATTCACATTCAGCTGGTGCAAGGGAAAAAGAGAACAAGGTTGGAAAAGAGAAACTGCTGCTACAGCTGCTGTTCCTCCTCCCCCTCCTCCCCGTCCTCCTCCTCCTCCTCCTCACTCTTTGTCTGCTTCCTCTTTCTTTTGCAGTGCTGGGGATCAAGCCCAGTGTCTTATGCATGTTAGGCAAGCTCTCCCACTAAGTTGTATTCCCAGCCTGATATCTGTTTCTTAAAAGCCTTGGTTAGGAAGTGGCGAACAATTCCTGTCCCCACTTCATGGTGAGGAGTTACCTGTCCCTACCTTATTCAGAAGGAGTGGCAAATGAGGTTCTCTGTCCGAGTTGTTATTCCTGGTACATCATTGGATCGTGAAGCAGAAGAATAGATTTTGATGAGCAATTTCTGCCATATCCAGGCTATCTCAAAATACCTGTTTAGGGTGAGGTTGAGGTGGGATGAACAATTTGGAGTCCTGGAGTTCTGAACTTCCTGGTAGAGTAAGCTAGGGACAAGTGGGTAACACGGCCAGTGAGTCCCTCAGTCATTTTCCACCTGTCCCCATGGGGGGGGGGTCGCTGGGGTAGAATTTGCACTTTTCACCTTCTTGAAATCATGTGCTCTACTATGTAGAACAGTGAATAACTGAAACTCCCTCTGATTTGTTTATTTAGATCTCATATGGCTCTAGTATTGAATTATATAACATAAACCATATATCAACTGCCGAAATTCTGATAGATGCCTCTGCCAAAGCTTTTTGTTCCTGAGAACAAAGTATTTAAAAGCATGTGGTAATTTTTCCTTCCTTTCTAAACAAAGTATTTCTCATGACTGCATAAGCTCTTGTCTCTTGTCTTATTGTTCTTGCAAGAGTTTCAAGCACTATGTTAAGGAGAAGTGGAGATAGTGGACATTCATGTGTGGGTTCTAATTTCAATGGGAATGCTTTCTGTTTTTCTCCATTTAGAAGGATGTTGGCTGTGGGTTTGTTATATATGGCTTTAAGTATGTTGAGGTATGTTCCCTCCATATGTGCCCTATGTTCGGTTGACTGAGGAAGAATCTTGCAAGAGTTTCAAGCACTATGTTAAGGAGAAGTGGAGATAGTGGACATTCATGTGTGGGTTCTAATTTCAATGGGAATGCTTTCTGTTTTTCTCCATTTAGAAGGATGTTGGCTGTGGGTTTGTTATATATGGCTTTAAGTATGTTGAGGTATGTTCCCTCCATATGTGCCCTATGTTCGGTTGACTGAGGAAGAAAAGACTACAGCTTGGTTTACAGATGGTTATGCACGCTATGCCGGCACTACTCAGAAGTGGACAGCTGCAGCATTACAGCCAATTTCTGGAACAACCCTGAAGGACAGTGTGGAAGGAATGTCTTCACAGTGGGCAGAACCTCGGGCAGTTCACATGGTCATGCAGTTTGCTTGGAAGGAAAAATGGCCAGAAGTGTGATTATATACTGATTGGTGGGCTGTGGCCAATGGTTTGGCTGGATGGTCATAGACTTGGAAGGAGCATGATTGGAAAATTGGTGAGAAAGACATTTGGGGAAGAAGTATGTGGCTAGATCTCTCCAAATGGGCAAAGGATGTGAACATACTTGTGTCTCATGTGAATGCTCATCAAAAAGTGGCTTCAGCAGAAGATGAGTTCAATAATCAAGTAGATCGGATGACCTGCTCTGTGGACTGTCAGCCTCTTTCTTCAGCTATCCCTGTCATTGCTCAATGGGCCCATGAACAAAGTGGCCATGGTGGCAGAGATGGAGGTTATGCATGGGCTCGACAGCA